CCTCTCCAGGGAAAGGATACTGCAAAATACCCATTCCCTCTCCATCCTGGGGGAAGGATACTGCAAAATCTCCATTCCTTCCCCTCTCCAGGGAAAGGATACTGCAAAATACCCATTCCCTCTCCATCCTGGGGGAAGGATACTGCAAAATCTCCATTCCTTCCCCTCTCCAGGGAAAGGATACTGCAAAATACCCATTCCCTCTCCATCCTGCAGAGGAAGGATACTGCAAAATCACCATCCCCTCCCCACTCCAGGGAACGGATACTGCAAAATCCCCATTCCCGCCCCACTCCAGGGAAAGGATATTGCAAAATCCCCATTCCCTCCCCACTCCAGGGAACGGATACTGCAAAATCTCCATTCCTTCCCCTCTCCAGGGAAAGGATACTGCAAAATACCCATTCCCTCTCCATCCTGGGGGAAGGATACAGCAAAATCCCCATTCACTCCCGATCAGCTGGGACTTGGGAGACAGAGAATAGATGGGGGCGGGGCCAGCCAGAGGTGGTATTTACTGCTTCTACAAACTACTCAAAATTTCCACTGCCGGTTTCCAGAACTGGTCAGAACCTGCTAAATATTACCTCTGAAATGGTTGTTAAGTGAATCTGGCTTCCCCATTGACCTGGCTCCTCAGAAGGTCGCAAAAGAGGATCACTCGACCCCAGGAAACATCGCAACCGTCATAAATATGAGCCAGTTGTCGAACGTCTGTATTTTTGACCATGGGGATGTTGCAATGGTTATAAGGGTGAACCGGTTGCTATCTGTATAAATCTAAATTCTATTGCTATCTTTGCCAAGGAGAAAGCAGGGGGGGAAACTTGCTTGAGACTTGGAAGATGTACTATTTAATTTCCCCCCCCCCTTCTTTGTGCTCCTCAGGCTTCCCGTGGAAGTGGACCCTACCACAGTCTTCGCCTCCTTGTCCCCCGAAGGTCTCCTGATCATTGAAGCTCCACAGATACCTCCATACTGTCAGTACGGGGAGGGCAGCTATGGCAACGAGATTCCTTTGGATACCCAAGAAGCAACTTGTGCTTGAAGAAATCCCAGCCCAAGATTGCCTCCCCCACCCCCAACAAAACCCCTTCCGTCGTTCGACCACCCCTGCAGTTGCCTTCACTCAAAGCCTTCTTCCTTGCAGATGTCCTGCTCAACCCTACTCTTGAATGGACTTGTTGAGTTCCCACGTTGGGCTTGGGCGGGGGGGGGAGGTGTCAAAGGGAGAAGAAGAGTAGTGTTGACCTGTCTTTGAGGCTTTCCAAATCGGTGGTGTAAAATTATACTTGATGCCCTCTTTCAAACAGAGGTGATGTTGTGTCAGAAGGATTCAGTTCCAGAAAGCTTCTTTGATCCACCACGCGTAGTAGGCTATTTTTGGAAGGTTTTGAGGAAGTGTTGACGTCAAGGTTGGTTCTTTAGGTCTTTCAGGATGGAGATTTAGAGCTGGGGCAAATCCAGAAGAGAGGCAAACCCTTGGCAAGGTGACATCAAGGGGAAGTAAATGTAGTGGCACTGTTGTGTACATTTCCCACAATGCCTGGTGTCGGGGCATTGTGAGAAATGGCTAGCCACCACAACTTCCCAAGCTCGGATGTCTTCATTGCATGAAGGATCTACAACAATCTTTGGTCCTGCTGAGAAGTATTTAAGGACTCATTCACCATCTAACCTTTCACTGATTCCATGTTGAGAAATGGTCAAAGATCCCAGACCCATCATTCTGATCTAAGCCCCTTTATGGCTGGCTTCATCGTCCCACCAACAGAGATCCCAGCCTTCAAGCAAGGAAGTCATTTTGCCCAAACACGGCTAAGAGATCATCTCAAGATATCTGGAGATCTAGGGAAGGTCTCATCAAGTGTTTGGCCATCTCATATGGAGAGATGGAGAGGTTAAGGCCAAGATAAGTCATCATCCTCTGGTTGAGGTCTCACCTCCTAGGTGAAGCTGGATTCATAACACAATTTTCCTCCCCAATAACACTTTTGTGGTGATACCTCTCCAACCTCTACACCCACTATGGCCATTTTAAGACTGGTGGACTTGAAGGCCACAAGTCTTAAAGTGCCCAAGGTTGGACAGGATGGGACAATTCTATACGGCCACATCAATCACCTTGCCCAGGTTGAATGTCCCTCTTCTACACCATGGGCTGCTGAAGTCTCACCTAAGTGCTTAAAAGCCCTACAACTGAGATTGCACTAAAATGTAATTTGTCCGAGTTGCTATCCTCCATCCAGGTTTACAGATGTCCAGAGCACTGATTTATGATGCGCTGAAGATTTCTTTTTTTTTTTTTAATGATGTTCTCAGCACACTTTGGTTCCTTTTTTTAGCTGACTTGTCTTCATCGTAAAATAGTCTCTTTTAACCTCAAGAGCTGAGTTGGCATTGGGGCAAGCCAGGCTAAAATTCCCTCTGACCCCCAAATTGCAATTGTAACAGTGCTGCCACCGCCTTATCCTTCTTCCATTAATGCTGCTTGCGACGTGATACGCATTTCTGCTCCCCGGTTTCATGGAGGACTTAACTGATTATATTTTCATTCCCCCCACCCCCTGTATTCTGTATCCGATGTAGCAACCAATTGTCCTTAATAAACTTTTGGGTATATGTGAGGTATTTATGCCAATAGGAATAAGTAGTTATCGTGTTTCGTATTTTGGCGGAGTGTCCCCCTACCGGTTCCACCACAAATCCGCGAAGCCCTTATCCACAGAGACATAAGCGCGAAGACTAATTCGCACCGTTCGAAGAGCTAAGGAAAAACGCAACCCTACCACGATGACATAATCGCGGAGGGCAAATCCGCGCATTCCCAAGCACTCAGCATCCTAACCCTAACCCTAAACCTAACCCTAAAACAAACCCC